ACTCTCCACATAAAAGCAATATTATAAGCTAATTAAAATATACAACACAAGAAACAAATAACTCAGGTCCTTCATTGTTTTTGATATTATTTGGCTTTCTTAATTATCCAGAGTGCATCAGCAATAATGTCTCTTGTTCCTTGTCCTTTTTAAAAGACTTTTAAATGACTAACAGCTTTATTCCTAGAAAATAAAATAGAGAATTGCAATCAAAGTCTGGGAACTGTGCTGTCCCAGCCAGTCTATGGGAATTGGTTAGTTACTTAGGAATTATGAGCTGTCCCCTTAAGGCAGGGGTGGGCAAACTTTTTGGCTCGGGGGGCCGCATTCACTTTTAAAATTTGACAGACGGGCCGGGTCAGCACAAGATTTTTTGGGAATCGCCCCCCTTCCCCCCTTCTTCTCCTCCTTCCCCTCCCCTCGGAGGCCCCCTGAGTCAGGAGTTGCTACTGCCGGCACGGCTCCACGCGGCTCCAGTCCCACGTTGCCTCGGGAAGGGAAAGGCAAAAAGGAAGAGCCGCGGCGGTGCTTTGCAACAGCAGCAGCGGCACTGGAGGTTCAGGCTCAGCGGCTCCTGGTTTTGCCTTTCCCTTCCCAAGGCAACGCAGGACTGGAGCCGCGCGGAGGTAGCAACTCCTGACAGCCCCAGCCGGACACCTGAGCAGAGCCCGGGCAGAACTGCCTGTTGCTGCTGCGGGCGCTGCTGCGGGTGTCTGGCTGCCCAAGTAAAGAACCGCACCAGCTCAGGGCAACTGTGAGGAGCAAGAGGGGAGAGGCAGAGAAGGAGGCAGAGAAGGAGGAGAGCACCTGGCCAGTTGGGGGAGGCTTCTTGTGCTGCGAAAGAGGCGGCTAATGATCTCCGGCTCCACTCTGCTTCTCCAACATCCGGCGCTGCCCTGTTCTGTGCGCCGGCTGCTCGGACTTGCTGGGCCTGACACAGAACAGGGTGGCGCCGGATGTTGGAGAAGCAGAGCGGAGCCGGAGATCATTAGCCGCCTCTTTTGCAGCACAAGAAGAACAGGGTGGTGCCGGACCATTGGAGAAGCGGAGCAAAGCCGGAGATTAGTAGCTGCCTCTTTCGGCGCAGAAAGCTTCCCCCAACCAGCCGGCTGGTCTCTTCCTCCTCGGCCATACAAAACAAACAGACAGAGAAGGAGGAGAGCAGCTGGTCAGTTGGGGGAGGCTTCTTGTGCTGCCAAAGAGGCAGCTAATGATCTCCGGCTCCACTCTGCTTCTCCAACATCCGGCGCTGCCCTGTTCTGTGCGCCGGCTGCTCGGACTTGCTGGGCCTGACACAGAACAGGGTGGCGCCGGATGTTGGAGAAGCAGAGCGGAGCCGGAGATCATTAGCCGCCTCTTTCGCAGCACAAGAAGAACAGGGTGGTGCCGGACCATTGGAGAAGCAGAAGATTAGTAGCTGCCTCTTTCGGCACAGAAAGCTTCCCCCAACCAGCCAGCTGATCTCCTCCTTCTCTGCCTGTTTGTTCTGTATGGCCGAGGAGGAGGAGACCAGCTGAGAAGCACGCTGCCAGGCGGGGGCCACGCAGTGCAGGGCAATACGCCACCGCCCAGCCCTGGCTTGGGAAAGCAGTGGGCGTTCCCCGGTCGGTGGCCTTGGCCCCGCTAGCAGGGAAGCAGCTGCCCAGCTCCGTGTTGTGTGTGCAATTTTTTGGCGCGCGGCGCGGGGTCTCTTTTGGCCGGCCCCAATTTTTTTTTTCAGAGGGGAATATTTTTTTTTCAGAGGCGGGCCGTATTAAAATGACCAACGGGCCGGATGTGTCCCACGGGCCGTAGTTTGCCCACCCCTGCCTTAAGGGAATGCATCATGGCAAATGTAGTTAAAGGTATCCTGAGAAATGTAGTTCATGTCACATAGCTACATCTGTAATCCTGATTGGTCACTAAATTGACCCTTGAGGGGTTGAGGGAGGTTTTCCTCCATTCTTGCACTCATGGACTGATAATCGCTACGTGATGGGTTAGGAAAATAACTAATTTTTACCTGCAATGCTGATATAGAAAGGATTGCTCATTATAGAAGAGCTTTGTCACAAATGTGAGTTACGAAAATACCTGATGTACCAATAAATGTACTTTGTTATGGATGTTTTGTGGAATTATCTATCTGCATCTGCATAGCCACAAATGCACCTCTGTGCATGAGATAGGACAGAAAATGGTTATTTTCCTAACTCATCACGTAGCGATAGAAGGAAAGCTGTTATCAGTCCACGAGTGCAGGCAAGAATGGAGGAAAATCTCCCTCAACCCCTCTAGGGTCAATTTAGTGACCAATCAGGATTACAGATGTAGCCACGTGACATGAACTACATTTCCCAGGATACCTTTAACTACATTTACCATGATGCATTCCCTTAAGGGGACAGCTCATAATTCCTAAGTAACTAACCAATTCCCATAGACTGGCTGGGACAGCACAGGAACTAACCCCATCACTTTTATTTTGGGGGAAATTCTGCAATATTACATTTCATTAAAGTTATTTACAAGAAATTCCTGCACTCATTAAAAATTACATCTGCTCAAGTACAGTAAGTAATGTGTTTAGTACATTTCTGGTCTTTAACAAAAGTTAGGTTAGCTAATCTGGACTAAATGTTCTTTGAATTCTCAAATTCAATGCAGCTAATTCCTTTTTTGCTTTGAAGTTTCCCAAATGTTCTTATTGTGGTTTTGATAGAATGAATAAGAATCAGCTGCCATTATGAAGCTCCTGCAAGTGTTTCGTGTTTGAACAGGATAGATGGGGAATTCTGAGAGTTGAAATTCACACAACTTTATTTTATTTATTTATTTATTTGTTTGTTTGTTTATTTATTTATTTGTTTATTTGATTTGTCAATCACTTACAAAATAATAGGTATAAGTATAAACATGAGTAAGAATACAGAAAATATTGATTAAATGGGGATAATAGGACAGGGACTGGAGGCACGATGGTGCACTTATGCTACCAAGGTGGAGAAACACTATCCTGAAGAGAAGTAGCTTCAGATTCATCACCTGTCTTCTGATTCAGGGCCACCCATTTTATACCAACTGCATAGTCACACTTACTTTTTAAACTGTTCCTATTCTGCGCTCCTGCCCCCTTGATTCTAAACAAGCTTTTCAAAACCCCATCTATGCTAAGATACTTTAGTAACAGATTGCAAGAGTTTTGGTTCATACTGCAAGCATGGACCTACTTCTCCCTTTGCTTTATCTTCTTTGTAAATGCAGTTCCACAATTCCACTGATTTTCCACTGATAGAAAGCTTTTATCCTTGGTTTCATTATTTAGCAGCTATGGGTACCTATTAGTCTTGGAAAGGTGAAAGAACAGTGCAACAAAGTATAGACCGAAGAAGCAAGGAAAGAAAGAAAAAATAAGGTTTTTGCAAAAGTGATGGTGTCTATGCTATTGCAGCAGTCAGGGTAAATGTGAAATCTAAAAGGTGTTAACATTAATTGCAAGCTTTGTTCCAGTTGGAGGGGTAGCCTTTCCTCTGCAAAATAGCCAATGAACTGCTAAGAATAGCTTGCAACAAACTGAAGTGCTGTAGCCCCAGTAGGCAAGAGTGATATCAGGGGGAGAGCAATTTGGTGTAGGAGAGTCAGTTTATTTATTTTATTTATTTTTATTTTTATTTATTTGTCAAGCAATTATAAGATAATAGGTATAAGTATAAACATAGTTATGAATACATGAAATGGATACATACAAGAAAAAAAACAATAGGACAGGGACGGTAGGCACGTTGGTGCGCTTATGCACGCCCCCTACAGACCTCTTAGGAAAGGGGTGAGGTCAATAGTAGACAGTCTTAAGGTTAAAGTTTTTGGGGTTTGGGGAAGAAACCACAGAGTCAGGCAGAGTATTCCAGACATTGACCACTCTGTTGCTGAAGTCGTATTTCCTGCAATCAAGTTTGGTGCGGTTTACCTTGAGTTTCTATCTATTGTGTGCTCTTGTATCGTTATGGTTGAAGCTGAAGTATTCATTGACAGGTAGGACATTGCAATTGTTTAGTTGCAGTGGTTAACACATCAAGCTAGAAACCAGGAGGTGTGAGTCCTAGTCCTGCCTGAGGCATAAATAAACGAGGAGCTCTTGGACCAATCACAGTCTCTCAGCCATAGGTAGGAGGTAATAGCCAATAGCTAAGCCACTCCTGAAAAGCCTTGGCAAGAAAACTGCAGGGCCTGGTCCAGACAATCACCAGGAATCAACACTGACTCAAGCATCCACAGTAGGGAAAACTGCATTGCAGAAGTGGAACAGAATAAAACACTCCATTCACCTGGAAAGTGAGTGAGAGATGACTAGAGAATAATGTGTCTATTTCTGCTTCCAGCAAAAATCCCCTGCCCATTTTGGTGATGGGGCAATCAGACAGTGCATTTATAGTACTTTTTAAAGTTCATGTGTCATTAATGTAGATCAATGTTTTCCTTCCTGCCTGCCTGCCTGCCTGACTCCCTCCCTCTCTCCCTCCTTTCTTTCTCACATAAGAAGGCAAATAAACCAAAGATTTGGCAGTTTAAGCAATCCTTATCTTTTACTGGAAAAAATATTATTCAATAGCCCAATTTGACAAAAGCTGCCTCCGTTTTTCCTGCCCTGCCACACTCTGTCTCTGCCTGTTGCCTCCTCTCCCTCCTCTCTCCCAGCATTTCAGAATTACTGGATGCCTGTTTTAGAAGTGGAACATTTTGCCAGTCCTTGCTTTTGTTTGAGACAAGAATTAAAATCTCTCAATGTGATTAACCCACAGGAGCCCTCCCTCACCTCCCAGGCAGCAAACAAAAAGAGACAAAAAACTCCCCCCTCCTCACTTTTGAGCAACATAAAACAAAAGTGGAAAAAAGCTATGTGGAGATGAAGCAGCGGGGCCTGTTAGAAGCTGGCAATGAAGAGATGCTTGGTTACTTTGAGGAGTTTATAGCTTTGTTGTTTTGAAAAGAGGCTATTTAATAAACGGCTTTTTTGTATTCAGATTGCCTTGAGAAACATCTTTACAGGGGCATATAAAGATGAATGTTCAGTTTCTTGACAATCTGGGTTAAAATAAAACACAGATGTCAGTAGAAGAGGTATGTCTACAGACATCAATTGCCTGCTCCATTTTTCTGTATTAAAAGCTGCCATTTATCTGTATCCTTTTTTTTCTTTTCTTTTATATTGTACGCCCTGCTCCACAAATCAAAGAGAATAGTTACTATGCTACAAACAAACCCCAACAGGTGCAACCCTGGATCTCCAAAGTAAAATTGGAGCCTCAAATCATTGTTTGCATCTTTGATATTATTATTGCTCCATGCTTACAATCTTGACCTGGTTCATGTTAAGTGAATGTGTTTAGAATAAGCGTCTATTTTACTTATTCACTATTTTTAAAAAATTCTTAGGCCAAACTGAGGTGGCTTGAAATCTTCTTCCCAGTTCCTCAAAAATAGTCAGCCAAATGAGTGACTAATCAAGATTCCAATCAACAGTGTATAACCAATCCAGATCTACTATTTTGATTAATGAAATGTAATATTAGGGCAAAGTAATATTATTAGAGTACCAAAACATGTAGTTATTCTTCTTGGGCATCTTTATAATATCTGAAACTGTATAATAATATATAACAATATTATATATATATATATGGTCTGGTCTTCTTTATGAGAATTAGTGGTTAGTTTTTCTGCAAAGCAAGAAAGTTTACAGTGCATCTGATAGGAATCAAAGCTACAACCCTGACAGAATCAAGCCTCAAGATGTTTTAGATTGTCATCTAATTCAAGTATAACAGGAGTGGGCCAGAGGGAATATGTTTTTATTCTGGAACAAGGACAGAAGCTCACACCGCCATGCAGTACTTGGGTCTCGAACAGACAACCTTCTGATTAACGGGCCAAACTCCTGCTCCTTCCCTAGTTCCTGTCCACCTAGCAGTTTGAAAGCATGCAAATGCAAGTAGATAAATAGGTACCACTTGGTGGGAAGGTAATAGTGTTCTGTGCATCTTGTCGTATATAGTCATGCTGGCCACATGAAGTGTCTTTGGACAATGCTAGCTCCCCTGGCTAAGAAACAGAGATCAGCACTGCCCTCTATGACTGGGGGGAAATCTTTTTTTTTTTTTAATTTTATTTTGTTCCATTTTTTTGTTTAAGCTTGAAAAGGAAAGAGCAATTCAGAAATCTTTCCTTGAATCATTTGTGAGGTTGGGTGGGTGGACAAAAGCTTTTGGTCTTTTATGATTGTATAATGAAGCTTAAAGATTTATTTGCATCATAAAGATCAGATAAAGATCATGGACAGTGAAATACGTGTTATTATAATGGATCTTGACTTTATGTCTGTGTGGCATTATCAGCATGTTGGTCCTTTAGAATAACTGAAGTTCATTCCTCATACCATTAATGAGTCAGGCTTTAGCCATGTGCTTAACTGTACAAAGGACATTAGAGAATGAACCATTCATAGCAGTGATGATTTCATTAGAAGAGTCATGTGTGAGACAGCAGCAGGTTCCCTCATCTTTTACACTCCCTTCTTTGCTACTCACTGAAGTGATTCACCTGCATGATCTGTACTATACATCTGTATAGAACATTGTGTAGAGACACAGTTGAAGCTCCCATGCCTCACCAACAATGTCTATTGCAGGTGCTTCCTAGATAAAATTTAATTCTTCTAATCAGATGTACAACTTCCACCAACTGAAAATACTGGTTGTATTCATATCCACAATGGCAAAAGCTTGGTCTGGTGGTTAAGGCACCAAGCTCAAAGTCAGTGAGTTCTAGTCCTGCCTCACGCATGAAAACCAGTTGGGTGACTTTGGGTCAGTCACCCTCTCTCAGTCCATCTCACCTCACAGGGACTTGTGGAGAAAATAGGAAGAAGGAATATTTTGTATGTTTGCCAACTTGATTTATTTATAAAAATAATAAAGGCAGGATAATAAACAAACAAACTGCAAACTAGCAAAACAAATCTTAATCTAATGTATAAAGTCAAGTTGCTTGATCAGTTTGTGCTCCAACATGCTCTATGAAATAAAAATTGATGTATTAAATCATTGAAAAGTTAATAATAGACGAGTGTGTTGCATGAATGCAGCTACTCTGGTCAAGAAGCAGCCATTGAGACTTATACAATTCTAGGATCTGGAATAAACGTTGCTGCAATAGTGGGAATAACTTAGAAGCTTATGAAAAATCAACCATGCTACCATCGATATTATTCTTTTTGAAAGATTTTTCCTTTTCAGAAATTTTAATGATTATGTATGGCTGTGTGAATAATTCACACAGTTCCACTGTTCATACCATCATATACTAGCATACTGGTTGGGAAATACTGGGAGTTGAAGTTGTGAACCTTGACAAACACTGCTCTATGCCATGAATCTAAAGGGCAGCATTAGGGTTGTGTGGATGCAGCAACCTTTAGAAAATAACTTTGGTTCCTGCAAGTCAACTTTGGGTATGATGCTGCATATTAGTAGTGCAGATGCACCACTGTAGAACTTGGTTCACAGCTAAATTTAAGCAGCTACGTCGTTCCAAAAAGGAAGCCTACAGAAAAGGTGACAGAATGCTATACAACCAGGCCAGAAACATATTAACAAGAGAGATCAGAGCAGCAAAAAGAAGCTACTCTGAAAAATTAAAGAATCAATTCTCAACAAATGAACCAGCAAACATGTGGAAAACTCTTTAAAACATCACTGGCTTCAGCAAACCTCCTTCCCAGGCAGAAGGAAATCAACAACTAGCAGATGACCTGAATGTGTTTTACTGCAGGTTTGAAAAGAAACTACAGCCACCTATCTCCACAACCCACATTTCAAACACACCAACAACAGCCAAGCCTCCTACAACTGGCCCCAATCCATTGGGCTCACAACCTCTCGTGATCACAGAAAAAGAAGTGCAAGATCTATTACACAGACAGAAGCCAGGAAAAGCACCAGGGCCAGACAAGATAACTCCTTCCTGCTTAAAAGTCTGTGCTGACCAATTGGCCCCCATCTTCACCCGAATCTTCAATAGATCACTAGAGATGTGCTATGTTCCTTCCTGCTTCAAGCGTTCTACCATCATCCCAGTGCCAAAGAAGCCATCCATCAAGGAACTGAATGGCTACAGACCAGTTGCTCTAACATCCGTAGTTATGAAAATCTTTGAAAGGCTTGTGCTGTCCCACCTGAAAACCATCACGGATCTGCTGTTAGATCCCATGCAGTTTGCATACCGAGCAAATAGATTGACCGATGATGCTGTTAACATGGCTCTGCATTACATCCTACAACACCTTGAATCTCCAAATACCTACGCAAGGGTCCTCTTTGTAGACTTCAGTGCAGCATTCAATACCATCATTCCAGACACTCTTCTAAGTAAATTAAACCAACTAGCGGTACCTGAACACACTTGTAAGTGGATCATAAGCTTCCTAACAGATAGGAAGCAGCAGGTGAAGCTAGGCGGAATCACATACAATACCTGTACAATCAGCACAGGGGCCCCCCAAGGCTGTGTGCTATCTCCACTTCTCCCTATATACCAATGACTGCATCTCAAATGATCCATCTGTTAAAATACTGAAGTTTGCTGATGACACAACAGTGATTGGTCTCATTCGAGACAACGATGAATCTGCATACAGACAGAAGGTTATATAACTTGCCTTGTGGTGTAACTGGAACAATCTGGAACTGAACACACTCAAAACCGTAGAAATGGTGGTAGACTGTAGAAGAAACCCTCCTATACTATCACCTCTTACAATACTAGACAACACAGTATCAACAGTAGAGACCTTCAAATTTCTAGGTTCTACTATATCACATGACCTAAAATGGACACCTAACATCAAAAACGTCATAAAAAAGCACAACAAAGCTCAAACTGCCCAAGGAGCTGCTGATACAGTTCTACAGAGGAATTATTGAGTCTATCATCTGCACCTCTATAACTGTCTGGTTTGGTTCTGCAACCCAACAGGACAGACACAGACTTCAGAGGATAATTAGGACTGCAGAAAAAACAATTACTACCCACCTGCCTTCAATTGAGGACCTGCATACTGCAGGAGTCAAAAAGAGGGCTGTGAAAATATTTACAGACCTCTCACATTCCAGACATAAACTGTTTCAACTCCTTCCCTCAAAATGACGCTATAGAGCACTGCACACCAGAACAACTAGACACAAGAACAGTTTTTTTCCTGAAAGCCATCACTCTGCTAAACAAATAATTCCCTCAACACTGTTCAACTATTTACAAAGTGTATACTACCATTACTGTTACTCTTCTCATCACTCCTTATCACCCATCCCCTCCCACTTGTGGATGTAGGACTGTAACTTTGTTGCTTGTATCCTTACAATTTATATCAACTGTTTCCTAGTATGATTTGATTGTTGATTGTACCCTATGACTATCATTAAGTGTTGTACGTTATGATTCTTGATTTTTAACTAATGTACCTTTTCTTTATGTATACTGAGAGTATTTACACCAAGACAAATTCCTGTGTGTCCAATCACACTTGGCCAATAAAGTATTCTATTCTATTCTATTCTATTCGTGAAAGGATATGCATATGTGTGAGTCGCTGGATATAGATAAAAAATCAGGCATGTGGGATTTCAAGCCATTTTTTTCACATTTTAGAGTAAAGTAAGCTGTGAAGAGGAGAAAGATGCAATTATTCAAGAGCAAACTCAAATTTATTTTCAATGCTATGGCATGTACAACATGTGCCTCATGTGCCTCAGGGAACAAACATACACCATATATTATATCAGTCTTGGCAGTCCCGCCCGTCTCCTTCCCAGCTCTTTCCCCCCTCCCCCCTTCTTCTGTGAAGAAATTCTTTGAAGCACTTTCAAAACTGTACACTTTAATTCCACATTTGGAACAAAGTCATATCACCTAGACATATGATGAATGGGAAATCTTGGTGCTTGAAGTTCTCATCCACCACACCTTTTATTGAAAACATTTACTAAAAGGTCCATAATAAACTAATGGCAATTATACATAACTGGGCAAGGTGAAATTTTCATTACCAACTTACTGATTTATCACCATGAGAACCAGGATAGTGGACTCGAGTGGCCTAGTTCTTCATGCATTCTTACGTGCCTATGAATGTAGCCTTCTCATAATGGCCCCATCTGGAATTTGCAGGCTAACTTCTATATTTCCCCAACTATGAAAAATCTTGGGAGTTGAAGGCCACATACCTGGAGGTGCCAAGTTTCAAGATACCATGAAAAATACTATTAGAGTAGCCCAATCAAGGTTTAATATAAAATTACTTCTGAAGTTTCTAGTTTGCTTTCAGAGAAAAGCTAAATTTTCATTCTTATCCTAAATTCCACTGGAAGCAATTTGGCTGTTCTTTCTCCTTTTATTAGATTAAAAATAACTTTGGAGAAATTCAAAGGATTACTTTCAAGATTTTGGCACTTGCAGCTCTGGGCCTTTATATGCCCAGCCTTCTCTAGTAAAAAAATCTGCAAAAAAAGAAGAAGAAGAATTGTGAGAATTGTATAAAAATTAAAGATACATTTCTGAAAATTCCATATAAAATGATAGCTAACATTGGAAGAGCAGCTGGTATTAGAGAAAAATAAGCATAGGAAACTGTATGCAACAAAAATATCATCTTTAAAAGTAGAAAACTTACTTTAAAAATACTTTGAAGTTATTTATAATACATATATTGGGGAAAGTTGTATAGAGAGGCTTGCATATTTGGGAAACTTTGAATACAATGGCTGTAGGGCTTTTTTTAATTATTATTTTTTTTTAAAAAAAAATCCATTGCAATCCTAATGGGCTGGAATGTGCTCTTCTAATGTGATAATGTAGGCAAACAAGATATATTCTGATCTGTACCTTCTTCCCCCAGAACATGAACAATGTGCAAAAAAATGTTTGGTAATTTCACACAAATATGTATTATTTTGTACATATGCTTATTACCATCCAGGGAAAAAGTATGAACTTGTTCCATTTGTTCTGGGCAGGTATTACCTTTGAAGTCTACATTATCATTATAACCACTTAAAATCTGAAACTGCTAAATCGTTGCCAGGTTCTATCAGAGAAACTTGTCCACCCGGACATTCCGTTCAATTAGACTCTCATTATTGGAGAAACATTCCCAAGAAAGGTGCCTTGAGGAAACACTCCCAAGACAAGGACAGTATTAAGAGGTTTAATTGTGATTCAGAAGTTTCTCTCCCACACCCAAGTCATGTTCAGGGGACATGGGGAACCTGACTTCCGCAGAACAGAACACTGTGAGGGAACATCACTCCAGGTCCTCCAGACAAAGAACTAAGCAGCAGAGTCAAAATGATGCCAAAATTTGTACAGAATGTTTTCCTTATTACTATTGTTATTATCCATATAGATTTCTTTCATGCTTTATCCCAGAATGTGAATTACCACATAGTTCACATTTTATCCTCATTACAATCCAGTGACTGCCAGGTAAGGCTGAGAAAGTGTGACTCACCTGTAGGACCCAGCCCAAAATATTTTGCTGCCTAAGGCAGAGTAGCAAATATATTTTTCTTTCTTCCAAGTCAATGTGCATCACATTCAAGGCTAGTGAGATTATTTTGGTGTATGATCCACAGGTGCTTCTCTTCCCTTTTGCATATAAAAACACAATGAATAAATAAATACTGTAGCTCACCTCCTTTCTTGTAGCCTTTGTGGACTGAAAGGAGCTTTCTGATTCAACCTCAAAGCAGGCCTGACCTACAACAATGTTGATACAGGTAGTCCTCAGCTTAAAACAGTTCATTTAGTGACTGTTTGAAGTTATAACGACGTTGAAAAAAGTGACTTAGGGCAGCATCCCCATGGTCACATGATCAAAATTTAGATGCTTGGCAACTGACTCATATTTATAAGTTGCAGTGTCCTAGGCTCACGAGATCCCCTTTTTTGAACCTCTGACAAACAAAGTCAAAGGGCAAGCCAGATTTTCTTAAACATCTGTGATACTAACTTTAAAACTGCAATGATTCAGTTAACAACGGGGGCAAGAAAATTCATAAAATGGAGCAAAACTCACTTAACAACTGTCTCATTTAGCAACATAAATTTTGGGCTCAATTGTGGTTATAAGTTGAGAACTACTCCCACTGGTTAACTGGAGGAATATAAGATGCTCTCTATACTCTCTAGTATAGAGTTCCCCAACCTTTCTGGTTGGCGGTCCAGAGTTGGGGGGAAGGGGGGGAAAGAAGGGATGATTTTGTGGGAATTGCAGGTGCATGCACAAACACTCATGGCTGATATACACTTGTGGCAATGCTCACAAGGGTTGTGCATGTGCACATATGTGAGTACAACATCCAGCTACTCATGTGGCCCAGTGCAGAGGTGGTATTCACCTTCACCATCTGTACATGGCTGCTGGGTAAGGTTATCCAGCAGCAAAGGATCAGGAATCATCAATATGATACTCAGTTAATATCTCAACTCCGGCCCAACCAAGTGATGCAATTGAGGTTATTGTTTGGAGGTTGTTATAATCTGAAGGGCAGGCTGAGATTCAACTTTAGCAAGATTAAGTAGTTCTATGACTATTATTAAGTGTTGTACCTTATGATTCTTGACTCTTGACAAATGTATCTTTTCTTTTATATACACTGAGCGTTTGCACCAAGACAAATTCCTTGCGTGTCCAATCACACTTGGCCAATCAAGAATTCTATTCTATTCTATTCTATTCTATTCTATTCTATTCTATTCTAT